ATAAACACAGCAAGAAATTCTATGAAGTTTAAACTGGTTTCTAAAAGGTACTTGCTTCCAGGATCTGTTACCTTGCACAGAGGTTAAAAACAAAACAACATCAAGCAAACAGCAGATGAAAGCACTTCACATGAGGCTTCAAGAAATATTTTGGATTGTTAAGACTAAAAGTCAGCCAGTGGTGATGGGAACAGGAGGGAGGAAAAAAGATCACTTCACAGGAAATTTAGTAAGACCAGTCTGGCTTCCTCACTGAAAGAGGACAAACTGCCAAGAATAAGCCAATTTAAACACTGATGCACAGACTGTAATAATGACTTTCGGAGAGGAAATTAGATTGCACTATACTGGTCACAAACCAAGACAAAAGAGATGTTCAAGAGCAGCAAATATTTCTCAAGAAATTTATGAAGAAAAACTTCTCCTGGTCCATCTTGCGGGAACCAAAATCCCCCACTAGGGAATTCTACTGCACTGCAAATTGCCAGCTTTTGCAGTTTCATGCTTGAATGAAAATTCAATTTACCGCTTGTGAACTTCAAAACCTCAGCTTTCTCTTGCAAATAAAAGCATTTTGATAAAGTAATCCAAAAGTAAATTTCGACAACTTTAAAAAAAAAAAAAAAAGGAAGCAACTTCTAAGGGCAAGGAATAGATTATCTCATGACTCAAGTTAAAACTGGGAGTTGACAACGTAGGATTTTACTAGCTAACTGATTAAAATGAAAGTAAAGCAAAGTTCCCACTGGTAGTTGTGAAAAAAACCATGGGCTTTTACTTCATATGTAACCTGACCACAGAGCAGAAGTTAATCCAAATAGACTGCAGTTCTCTCATTGGATGGTTTGAGGCTGATAGTACGGGTAATATCATAAGTTTCCCTCTTCCCTTCCCTTTCAAAGTTAAGCTCCATTTGAGAAAGCGAAATTGAGAAAGAGCCCAGCCTGTAACATACCTGAGTTATAAGCTAAACCAAGAGAAGTCCACTGCTGTCAGCAGAACCCTCCATGTGCTTACAACTAAGCACGTGTGCGTACAGCTGCAGAATTGGGACCTCATTATGACAAGTTTATCTTAGATGTCATCTAAAACAAATTATCTTCAATACCAGCAATAAAATTACCATGTTCATCCTGCAAGTCAGTGTTACTTTCCCAGGGAATCATTTCCTGCAAATCAAAAGCATAAGTCCCCCTCTTGTGGCAATACTTTACTAGTGCTGCCAGAAAAGCACTGTACCATGCTTACAATACATATTGATACACCCAAATGTGTTCTGATGACATTTTCATAACTTTGTAAGACATATATTGGAAAGAAACACCAGCCTTTTATTAGTACTCTTACTGGAGGTGACCTGACAGGAAGCATCACAAAAGTTTGCCCATGAGCAAGGAGCGAAAATAAGAATTCTGCTAGCAAGATGACTTCAATACTAGATGAGAGGAAAGCAAAGCATAAATATCAGAGATTTGAGCCTCAACAACTTTTTTTTTAAAGCTAGGCTAATATAAATTGCATAAGGAAAAAAAAAAGTATGTTAAATTTCATCAACTCCTCTAGCCTGTAAATAGCTAAGTGGCACTGCTCTTACAAGGGATTCTGCTGACTCTGCAGAAATTAAAAGCTTCTATTGAAGACTCAGCTCTAAATCTTCTTCTTCTACTCTAACTCTCACAGTGAAAATTCTCAGTTCACTGTGAAAGCTGAGGAAAGAAAGTTCACTTTCTCTCTTTTCTCACTGTGAGATAAGCAAGAAAGAAAGATAGCAGGTCAATATACTGTTTGAAGTAGGAGCGGGTGTTGAATTCTCCCAAACAGCTGGCAAAACTTATTTCATTACTGGTACAGAGGACAGAAATTTCAGATGCTCTGAAAGATTCCCAAGTAACAAACAGATGTACTGAATGAAGAACACTGAGACAGGCTATCAGAGTCAGGAAACCAGTATTTTAATGCTGGTACAATCCATGAGCAGCTGCTAGACCTTTTCTGTTTCTCCTCTCTCTATGTAGATGCCTTGCTACAGTATCTGTGCTCTAGGGCCCCAACATTAGTTAAGGCTCTCAGCATTACTCTGTCACAGACAAGATGTCAAAGGTAGATGCTTTCGTTCCATTTACATTTGAGTTCATCTGTAACTAAAGTCAATACGATCTGCATTCTGTTCAAATACAATAAACCATCAAAATAAAGACTGGTTCAATCCCGATTGAGGGAAAACAGCCTTATATTTTCAGTTCAGAATAGGTTCAACTCTGAGAATACAAGGATACTCACATCATAGTTCTGAGCCAGATACATCCCAACCACATTGCCAAGAGTAAAACCAAGCTAAAAAGGAAGAAAGGTAGAAAAGAATAGTTAACATCCTTCCATCAAAAGCATGTTGGTTAAAATAAAAAAAAAAGGAATATTGCAAGTCATATGAAGACTACAGAGTTTCAATTCCACTCCTACTTAGTTTCTCACCTTTCTTCCAGAGAGAGGTACAATTTTACCCAACTTCCTCAGGAGGAAAACCTTACCATCATTTCCAAAATACAGCACAGTTGTGTTTTCAATACACATCTCCAAGACTATTTGGATCAGGCTATGATCATGTTTGTCTGCAAAATTCTTTGCACGCCCACAAAGGCAGTAACTCCTATAAAAATGAGGGAGATAGCAGCAGGCACCTACATATCATTGAGCTCTTGGTCCATGCCTGGAAAGCCTAAAGCAACAGCCCACTAAAACAACGCTCAATGCTGGGGAGGGACACACGCATGCAAAGGCAGAACACAGTAATACACAGTAACGAAAAGGTTCATAAGCTTGAAAGTCAGAACAGAGGCTCTGACTACAAAAAGATCCGAGTCTCACCTTAAAAGGTTTAAGAATAGAGCTTCCCCATCAACTTAAACTGATGTAAAACTGCTACGTTCCTTCTGCAACAACCAACAATTGTGCACCTTCCAGACCCCTTTGCCCCCAAGAGATTAGTTTTCAGCCTAATCCACTCAGATCTAGGGGCTCCTCTAAGGCAGGAAAGCACTGTTGGTTGGAAGCTGGGCACAACCTCTTTTGACAGCTGTGCAAACTCATAGTTGCTGGAGGGTATCTGTGAAACTGCACCCTGGAAGGAGAACATGAGCGAAACAGAAGCACAGTTCCTGGCCTCGTCCCTACCTGCCAGCTGAGGAAGATCCTCAAGTGTTAACAACGCTTCGAGAGGGAAACAAATTCCTCTCTTCAAAGAAAGGTGATGAGATTTTCATTTGACAGCTCCCCAAGGTCCTAGATTTTATTTTTTATTGTTACGTTTGATAATAAGTACATCCTATACTATGAAAGCTCATTTGGCTATTTTGGAAGAAGAGACTTCTAATACTGTGCCTTCATTCATCGTCAGTAGATAAATCACTCTATATGGCAGCTGAGGCCAGTTCTATTTAAGAAAATAGTTATTGCTCATGGTCACTGCTGTCCAAATAAGAATATTTTAAGAAAAATAAAACCACTGTCCACAATAACAACTTTGCCATCACATGCTGACTAGGCATCTTTTCCATGTCCAAAGCAGGACACAGTGCAAGCTCATCTTTTCAGTGACTCAGACTCCACAAGCACCACTGGTGAAAAGCTAGCTCTAGAAAACTAAAAATGGTTGAAAACTGCCAAATGAACCATGACTGCAAGTTACTTCAGTATTTTCTTAAAGAGATTTTTGGTCTTAGTCTTTATTATTACTTTTTAAGGAGCTTAGCTTTAACAATTTAAGAAAAAGTAAAGTTCTTTTTGTGTGTACTGCCTGCACTGGTTATTATTTGCTCTTATGGTTTTAATTATCAGTTAAAGTAGTACTCTGGGAGATACTAACAAATATTGCACTGGTGTAAACCAGACTTGTGATTCCTCTTAATGCAGAGCATCATTCTAGCAGAGGAGAATTTCCTGTATCTTTAGCACTGTCTGAGAACTCACCTGAAAACACAAACCAGGTTCTTGTTTCTTAGGAGTTTTCTAGGCTTTCACCCTGGAACATTTCCAAAGATGGGACAACTATCATATTCTGCTGTGTGATAAACCTTATTTGGTACAGATAGTACTGAGATCGGTACTCCCTTTAAGTGTACTCCTTTATTGAAAAGTCTAGTGCTGCATTCAAGAGCAATCCACCCAGTTACATTTAATTTTTATAGCTGACAATTCAAGCAGAGGGAAAAAATTCACTATTTTTCAACTCAATTATTTTTCAGTTCAGTTATGTGGAAAGCAAAACATATAGCCAATTAAAACGTGCATGTTAACGAAGGACAACAGAGCTGATGAGTTCAGGGTCTTCCGATTTCTACCCAGCATTTTAAGTTGCACTTAAACAAATGTTTATTTAATGTTTAACTCTGGATAGCAAAAATATAAGGTTTGCGAGATTATCCCTTTATCTCCCTGCTACAGCCCTAACAAGGGAGAGCAAGAGTCAAACACCCAATCTACACCCAAAGGGGGAAGAAACCCAGAATTAGTATATCTTTTTTCTAACTTTCAGGTGCTAATCAAGAAGTCATAATTAATAAGAGGGTTTTATCTAGCAACAAAAAACATTAGCAGCAAGCAATAGAGTTGATAAACACAGAAACTTTGAGAGCAGCTATGCGTATTTACCCTTACTGAGTGTTTTCAGCGGAGTGGTGAGAGACTATAAACAGCTACAGAAATGACTGAGGCTTTCATACTTCTTCTTACGAAGTTGAGATAAGAAATAAGCCGTATTTATGCAGTTCATAAAAACACACAAGACTCTCCCAACTTACAGTAGGCCATCTCTTCTTGCTGTGTATCAACACTTGGTACGAAACTTACTAGCCAGCTAAATTACTCTTCCCCCAACAAAAGATGAAAGAATATCACTTATTGTTTGTACTTACTGGGACATATCTGAACGCAACTAAAACCCTAGAGTATCCCTCACATCACTAGAACGAAAAACAGGATGCTGTTTCCACGCTTTGCTACAGCAGAAGCCAGCATCTTTTTGGTCAGGTAATTTATCTCCACGCTTGGCAGTAAAAATACCAGCATTGATTAAGTATTTAATGAAGAGTAGCCAGGCATCTAACCTCAGACACCCAGAAGAGTTTAGGGGAACATACAGAAAGACAGAAAAGAAAATTAAAATGAGGAAAGTATAAGAACATTTAGTCTATCAATTCCGCTGTTCTTAAGGGGAGTTAATGAAAGGCAGTAATGAAACGTGATCCCTCGCCTTAACTTCTATAAATAAAAATCCCCACCTCCAGCGATAAATTTTTAAAGGTGAGCAAAATGCCAAGGACTGAAAACCCCTTCTCTCATCGAAGGAGGGCGGTACATATGCTATTACAAAGAAATTTGAGCAGCAGGAGGGCACCACCGTGAGCAAGCAAAATCTGCCGCACCTCTAAGGCAAATTAAGGGCGCGACTTGCAGAAAAAACAAGGCAGGACCGTCTCACTTTCAGAGCAGTACTAAGGCACCGCTCTGCGGGGAGCAGGAGCAAACCCAGCGGCATTCGGCGGGTTCCGAAAAGCGGGGCGAGGCGACTCAAAGGGTCAGGGCGGGTTTGAAGGAGACGGGGAAGGAGGGAAACCGCCTGAAGCCGCACGCACAAGGATGCTGCGCTGCTGGAG